ATCGCGCGACCCTGCCCGTGAGCAATCTCCCAACTCATCTCTGTTAACTACTGATGGTTGCAGATCTGTATTTGATTTAGTTACTTTCGAAATATTCGTATGAGGGAGTAACTGAATTATGAGTGGATTTTGGGGTTATATGTTTTCTCCCGACTTGTCTTTGCTCCATGTCGGGCCTTCGCCAAAAATAGTTCGCTCGACGTAATAGAGGTTATGGAAGCGTTGAAGTTGAATATTCCGTATCGAGTGGAAAAAGTTTATGACAGATGCGCTTATTTGAACTGCCGCAAGGGAAGGCACCCTTCAAATGGTGGAGTCCAATTATTCCATTTCCCTGCCGTGAGAGACGAAATTCGACTCGCGATATGGGTGACGAACTGTGGTTTGTATTGAAAATACTATATTCGAAACAAGTCTGGCATGTCGTTGTATGTCTAATTGATGTAAAATTAGAACTTGGGGGAAATAGTAGAATATTAAAACTTGGACTTTAATTCGTTTCGATAGGCAATCCTCAATTAAACAACTGGTCCGCAAGTACCTTGCGCAGATCAGGCATCTGCGGAGACCACTTTACGGGTGATAGTTTTATAACGCAAGATCGGACGAGACTGAAACGAAATGCAATACCAATTCATTACAAGCAGGTAGAGCAATACATAAGGTTACAAATGTATTATTTTAATGTTTATACCGTATGCGTAAGCAAAAGTTATCGTAAGATCATAAAATGAATAATTTAGTTTCAGGCACAAATGCAGGCAAATACGAAAGAAGAAATTGTCGTCGATCCTGACTTTGACTTTGCTATACCTGATATGAAAGCTCAATCCACGAATTGTACCTTAGATGATAAATGTATCGCGACTAATAATTCAGAAACGAAAGAAGATTATTCAAATACGTCGCTTGTCCAGATTCATAAAAAGGAATTAAAATCGGAATGCCAGGATGACGAGAGTGCAATGAACGTCGTGCCGTTAGAGAAGGAAAATAAGGAGCAAAATAACGGCAGCAAAGTAGGGATACCCTCTTTTGTAAGGGTTTACAAAAAGTCGGACATGCCAATGGGTGGTTTCAAAATTATCTCGTCCATGCCAGTGTATAAAGTTAACATGCCATTAGGGAATCTTAAAACTTTGAATCCTATAAAAGTTCTCGAAGTAGGAAGGTCTTCGAAAGCTATTAAAGATGCATCAGAGGATTCGGTACAAAAATTGGATAATGGTCTTCAACAGAGTGCAGATCAACCAGAAGTCAGTAGCGTAATCTCTGAAAAAGCGGATCAAGAAATTATAGTTCCTGTTGAAAATCCTGAGCAGGAACGTCTGAAACCATCGACATCGAGGAGAAAATATAAAGATACAAATAGTACAACAATAGAACACATGTACAAACCTAAGCCACCCCGACCTGTCAAGCCCCCCCTTGGCGCAGTTAATGTAAGGCGGTTATTGACCCAGAATGAATCCCTGAAGAATAAAAATATTAATCTTCGGAAGACTATAAAACGACTTAGGAGGAAACTAAGACGTTCCATTGAGCGAACCACTACTGCTGTTCAGATATCCAAAATTGCTTTGAAGCAAAGGCAAGATATAGATTGTTTTTTAGACTCCCATGATTGCATGAGTCCAGGTGCAAGAGCAGTTGTAAAGTTACAGGTCCATAGACCAAATACGTCTTATTCCAAAGAGGAAAAGGATTTTGCCCAGAAACTGTACACTATTTCTCCAACAAACTATATAAAAATGAGAAAGTTTGGTCTCAATTTCCCTGGTGAAAGTACTGTAAAAATGTGGATTTCTATGAGAAACAAGATTAATATTGACGAACATTGTGAAGATATAAATGCAGATGATCATGCAGTTATTACGATTAACGATGGTCATACTGGTGCTACAAACATTGACACTGAAAATCATATCGTTATTACAGGTATAGAAGACCAATCAATCGTCCGGAATATTGATGTCAGGTCAATAAGTGTTACAAATATCAATGAGCATACAATTGTTGCCAATATTGATGATATTCCCATTGAATTTGCTGATGATATGGATCAATGATACTTCTGCACAGCATTTTCAAAACTAAAACAATGATTTCTTTTCCATAATGTGTACTATGTTTTAGCGATTTAACTTGAAATTGATGTTTCTATTACTATAATTTAAAATACGCCATCAATTGTATACGAATGATTGGCTAAATATTTATTGAACGTTAGAATTACCTTGTTTTAAATTTAAAGCAACTTTATTAGTGATTTTTTGCATGACTCATTTAGACTCCATTATTGTGGCGCATGTTTAGAGAGTTCTTATAAATCTAGGATGTGCAAAGATAGAGATACATATTTTTAAAACAGCATTTGAAGAAGTATATATTTTTTGTAGCCAAAAATATCAATTATTTCTAATTTTGGATTTATCGAGAACTTTCACGTTTGCTTACCATGAGAAAGAGTACAATGACATGAATCCTGCAATACTTAACTAGATTTCTGTTTTACTCTCGATACTCTGTGCAATATACATAAGCATATAATTTCATTAATCGATTTAACGAATGTAAAGTAATCAAGTAATTTCAACGTTCAACAAGTATTGATAATTATATATCATCTTGAGTTATTTAATGACTTTGGAGGAATGTGAGAATTCATTCCTCCTTCCATTTGTCCATAAAAACGAAAACCAAATTTGGTTTATAAAGGAATTAGTCACGTTTAGGTCTTCATTTGTTGCGTTTTTATTAATTTTGTAAGAAAATAAGGTGTTACTATATCTTGTTAGGTCATGCACGGTCGCATGAAGCATTAAAAGTCTACAATTAGTCAATTATTTAACTGGTATTTCAGTTGTAATCTATTGTAATTATTCCATCGATAAGTAATCGATTCTGCTGCTTTACCTTCACAAACTTCATTTAATGAAGAAAAATCTCGAATAAAAGTACATCTGTACATTCGCCAGAATTTGATTTTTTCAAAAGTTCTTTCCATCTCGTTTTTGTGCATGATCCTTAATTATAGTTTCCATGCGAAATGAAACCATTGAAATGTAATAACAGACGCAATTGATGAAAACAGATATTTACATTAGCATAACCTAGGTTGGAAAAAACGGACAATTACCTCCAATATCGTTGCAAATTCTGTCAAGTGTTCACAGTTACTATTTTTTTTCTAGTTCCCGTAATTAATTTCACTTGTTTTCGTGTTTTTTTCTTTTTAATTAATACGACACTTACCGACGATTCTTCAAATTTTTTGGCGCGCGGACTAATATGGTTTTCGACGTTCACGAGGAGACTTCTTTCGACCAGCTTCAACCACCGTCGAACAGATGGCGCAGTCGGACAGTTCTTTAGTGGTCCGAAGTTAACCAATCGTTTCAAACAGTGGCGTCCCTAAATTCGCGGTCGCGTTTTTTCGGTTGTGCAACAAGACGCGTCTCACCCAGATCTCGAAATTATTCATTGATTTGGGTAAGTAACAAAACGTACTATTCAACACCAAGTAAAGAAATCCCTATCCGATTATTATCCATAAACATTACTGGCCTCTGCGGCCCAGAGAAGCGAATTCCATAACCTCTAATTCGCGTCTACCCGTGTTTTCGGAAACTACGAATAGAATACATCGTGCATATTCGCCCAACATACGTTAACGAGACGCATGTTAATATCTCGTTCAGATTATACAGAAATTTCGTAATTAGTGGTACGGTGGTCGAGCCGAAATTACGTAATTATCGGTACGATAATATCGAAATAGTGTTACCAGACGCGGGGAATAAATTCTCCGCGATTGGCTTCTCCACATTCGGAGAAAAACTAATATCCAGAAATTTCTTACGTTCTTTTTATGTAATAAACATTAGACTTTTAAACCCCGCTTGGCTTGGCGTTGCGTGGTATTAAGTGTGAATGTCTTTCTCCTTCCCGTGAGACTAGATTTTTAAGCATTACGTGTAGATTGGGATTAAATGGCCTTAAGGTGAAGTGAAACCCCCTTAAAATCAATCGATTCGAATACAACACTTTTTTTTAAGGGTATTAGACCAAACTGTCCGAAACTTTGACACATCATTCCTGATATCATCTAAGAATTGTCCTGACTCATTCAAAATTTGGACTTTTTGGAAAAAATTTGCCAACTTAGCCCCGACCAGAACCAAAATGGCGTCGAGCTCTCATATTTCGATCAATATACAATTATCGAAGGCTCTGATATGAGAACCGAAAGGGTCAGGACAATTTTACGACAATTTAAAACACTCTGTTAATCGATGAACTCGCATTTGACAGGGATAGAGGCGAAAAAAGTGTTTTATGCGCTTCAATGCTAAAACGATCGGAATACGAGGTCTCGGAGTGAAAATTTAATTTCCCTAGAAATCACAGATGGCGCAGGGGGTCCCTTTGCAGTCAATTAGGGCCCCAGAAAGCACGAATCCAGAGAATTTCTGGAGTTTTACTTCGATTTCTTGATATTCATTCTACGAAAACAACAGCTGGAGTACGCCATTTGGTACAATACCCAATATAATTCGACCTAGCTGTCAATATTAAAACGAACGTCGGCAACGTAGACATTTAGAAAAATCTTCCTTATCGTCGTCGATCAAGTTCCTCGACGTGTTTCACTTCGCCTTAAGGGTGTGACATGATATCCACCTCCTGATAATTCCTAATTGATCCCTCCCATCGGAAGGATTTTCTGTGGTTCGAATAAATCCCCAGATATGTAATACCCCAGATTGGCCCTCAACCGACTAAAATCCACCCTGATCCGGGTATAAAATCCCTAATCCGTTAGCACTGTATCGAAATTACGGAATTAATAGCTACGACGAAGTTCGAGTATCGCCATGCCCCGCGCATGCGTACACGGTCTAGATAACAAGATGTCCTCCCGATTTATCGCGAGCGGCCGCGTATGGACGTCGCCCGGAGGGGCGGGGGGCGGAATAAAGTCTGACAAATGCAAGGAAGAGGATTTCCCTCCTTCCGTACGTTCGCGGTCGGCTGATAGATCTGCGGACGTTGGCGGTAAAGGTTCGAGCCAAAATCGATGACCATTGGCCGAGCCGGGTAATGTAACCGGGGACCGGTGGAAAAAGCCCGATTGCAGATATATGATAATGGGGATAATCTTTCAATATCTTACCCTTTATGGGCGTCATTCGTTTATAAGCGTTTTTGGATCGGGTTCAATTCGCCCCATCCCCCCGAGAGATCGGGGCCGAGCTACCCCCCCGAGCCGACTCGGACCCATCGAATTGGTTTTACCACTTTCCCATTTTTCATTAGCACAATCAGGCAAGCCAGGAGAGCCGAAACAATGGCTTCTTCGGGGTGAGCGGGGAAGCCTTCGGTTCCTGGGAGGAATCTATGGATCGCCGCCGAAACTCTCTCTCTCTCTCGACCCGGTTCGAGGCCGCATCGGGAGGCTCGGATTAGTTTCTGCCCCAGAATATCTAATTGTTTCCTGTCCCGACGATACTGAATTTACCGCGAAGATTAATGAGCAATTTCCTTCTTGGCGAGAGTCGCTCCTTTATCCGATAGACTCGGCCCGTAAATCGTTCGGAGCCTTCCCGAGGTCCGATGGCCTCTGGATCTGATTTCCCCCCAGGGGATGATTTTTCCCCCTTTTATCTCAAAATAACGAAAAAAAAAAAAACAAAGAAAAACATACAAATACGTCCAGCTCGAAATGAAGGTGCAAGAGCGTCAAATCGAGGTACTCTTCGAAGTGGCCGTCCGGTTAAGCGAACCGCAGAATTCGGTGATTTGACGGACACGGTTAAGAGGTTTTCTCGCTTTTTCTGGCAAATCGGGACAGGAGACGTCCGGTCTGCTTTAATTATCCCACCGGCTCCTAACGTGCAATTAATTCCGAATGCGGTTTAGTTTAGCGAACGAAGAGCAAACAATGTATTACCCTCCGGGCCGCCTAAACGTAGGTGGTTACGGCGGACGGGGAAGGCCACTTTGCGCAAATAGCATGGATCTGCAGATAGTGCATATCCCCGTTCTCATCCCCCCCCCCATCCCCCCAGCCAAGGTGGGCTTAATGCCCCGTGACTTTCTGATTGCCCCTAATGCGAATCTACGCGCTCGCACCCCCGCCATTTGCCGAGCACTCGTCCTCGCGTCGCGAAATCCGAAAAACCTCCGATCTCGAAGGATCTCCAATTTCGAGAAAAACTCGCAATACTTGTGATAACGTCGCAGGAATAATTAAAATTCGCGATTACGCCCGGTATGTTGAACTAATGTAGGCTTACGCGGGATTAAAGGCATCGCAAAATTCGAAGGACCTCCAATTTCGAGAAAAACTCGCGGTACTCGTGATAACGCCGCAGGAATAATTAAAATTTGCGATTACGCTCGGTATGTCGAACTATGATAGACTGACGCGGTATTAACGGCATCGCGAAATTCGAAGAACTTCCGATCTCGAAGGATCTCCAATTTCGGGTAAAACTCGCGATATCTCGTGATAACGCCGCAGGAATAATTTAAATTCGTGATAACGCACGTTATGTCGAAGTATGATAGACTGACGTGGTATTAACGGCATCGCAAAATTCGAAGGACCTCCAATTTCGAGAAAAACTCGCGGTACTCGTGATAACGCCGCAGGAATAATTAAAATTCGCGATTACGCACGGTATATCGATCTACGGTATTAAACATGGAAGTAACTATGCACTTTCCTCTTTTTCTTTTTCCAAGCCCAGAAGGGACGGAGAAAACTTGCAACGAGAGTAGGAAATGGTTATCAGTGAAGACGTGGGAAAATCGCTGTCGTAGTACCCGGTATTTCTAAGGGGACCCCATGTACCAGAGGTGTATGAATGTAGATTTATCGAAGTCTTCTGTAGCAACCTTGCGTAGGGATTTTTCATTAATGTCCTTAACAGGTAACTACTTTATAGAGGTGACAGAGCGTTTTTTTCCATCGCGACGCCGGGAGTTCCTTCGGCGATTCGAGCGGCCCGTTGCGCCATAGGGAAGTCGTCGGAGATCTTCGCGGGGGTCCGCGGGGCCTCCCGGTTTTCGATCGGGCGAAGAGGCGGGGGTGGAGTAGTCGCGCGAAGCGAATGACTGCGATTCGTCCAATTATCGGTTGGCACCAAAAGTGCTGGGTCTGGCTCGCCTGCCAAATGGGAAATAGCCGGCGAGCCACGGGGGGAGGGCGAGGCTATAGCTCCCATGGACGCTGCGGACTATGGAGTTCCTCCTGTGCACGAGTGCAGGGGGCTCCTGGGCTATAAATGGCAATCGACGGGAGATAATTCGCCCGAAGGCGCTCGCCGATCCGCCGATTGTCCCGGCGAACGCGTCCGATAGGTGCGAGCGTGATAAGGCCGCCCGCGATATGAATGTCAAAATTCACACAGGGCGGACCGCCATTGAAAATATTTTCGACTGGACTTAGAAGGAAGGTATTCCCAGGTCGATCTCTCCGATTTCATTTCTATCATAACACGTTACAGTAGACTAAAAACTAAGCGACGTGTACATTTTTTTTAACTTCTTAATCATTACTTAATACTTAATTTTTTATTTTATGAAGAGTGGCTCACCCCTTGATTTTTTTCTTTTTTTTTTTTTAATTGAGAAAATTATACCTTTCGTTTCTCGTTATGAGAAAGCTTTTCCAGGTGGATTGGTTAAAACATATTACGTTCCTGTGGGGGAAACTGCCAAATCGCCCCTCGACACGCCTTATGCCCGTTCGAACCCATTGCGTACCCCTAGTCAAAAATTCCCCTAAATATTTAGGGGGCTACTGGGCTTGCGGAGTTATCACTAGGTATTCAGGAAGGTCCCGGTTCCTCCGTCTTTAGCTTCTCTTCGGTTTCCTCTTCGGCTTCTTCCTGCCGGCCACTTTCGCCGTTTCGCGTTTCCATCCCCCAGGTTCGACGTTCCCGTCCCCCTGGTATCGACGTTACCCTGGAC